GCGCAAGGGGGGGGGCGCGACGGGTGATTTTGGGGGGGGGGGGGGGTTGCTCAACTTGGCACCCCTACGCATGCTTGAATTGTTCTGTGCATGCGTGATGAAGAGCAGAGTTGGACATTGACTTCTTGTCTTTTCTGTGGCACTGTGCCATATCATAGCACATTACTGGCGTATTTGCGGAGGGGGGCGGTGGGGGGGGCAGTCACGTTCAGCGTGTGCGTGTGCTATCATACAGTGCAGCAGGTGAATGTCTCCCCCAGGGCTGCGTTTGTCCCTCTTAGGAGATTTTGCTCTGAAGCGCCGGTGTGGGAGCACGCCGTTGATGTGGGAATGCACAATGTGGATCAAAACGTCATCCCTCCTCTGTGTAATTATTGGTGGAAAGCAGAGAATGACTTGCATGGGGGGGCGGGGAGGGGGGGCAGACTTCAATTTGTACTTGCAATTTGAATTTCGGTTTGACGGGAATAAAGTTTCAGAGGCTTAGGAAATCTTCAATTGCTCAAGAGCCTTTGACGTTGAAACATTTGTGGCGTCGGCGTTTCAATCCGATGAACTATGAAGATCTCTGTCATCATTTATTGCATCGTATTTATCATCATAATCATAAAAACAACACCATCGAAATCAAGAATGCCTTCAGGTGAAGAACCAAAGGTCACATCCTGATTTTGATTGACGTATGTGCTTTATGAGAATAAATTGGATTGGGTCGCATGGGATCGAAGAAAAAGAAAAAAGACAGCCCGGTTATTGGAAAACAAACATTTGCACATTATGAATTCCATGCGCATGACTTCCATTTTAAATTCCATGGGAATAAAGTTTAAAATTGAGGAAGCGGAGCATTGATCCTCAGCAAGCCTCAAATATGAATAACAACGACAAGATTGTGTTCAATCTCGATATCGACGTTGAATTTGATACAAATGAAGTCATTAACTTTTCACAAATTTCAACGAGATCGCAGACAATCCTCTGGATAGCTCGAAGATCCTACTCAAGAAAACCCCAAACCGCGCTTCACGGCTCATCCAAGGGTAGCAATTGGAAAAAGAAGCTCGCGTTCCGTCCTGACTCCTTTTGGATTTTGAATTCTATTGGAATAAAGTTGAAAAGCCATTCCAAATTCTTCCGGTTTAACTAACAATTGCTGCACTCCGAGGCACAAGGAAGAGCAGTGGCTGTCCTGAATTTACCTTGAAAAAAAAAAAAAAAAAAAAGTGAGAGAGCGAGAGTTTTTTTGTTCGTGTGTATCATTTCCCTTGCAGCCACATGAGGGAAAAGGAAAAAAAAAAACATAAAGGTACTATTTACCTCTCTTGCTGTGCATGAAATGAGAAGCCCAACACTCTTGTCCTCCCCGAGGACGCCTCGGCAACCGAGGAAGGAAATAAGAGCACCTCTCTGAAAAAAAAAAAAAAAAAAAAAAAGTGAGAGAGCGAGAGTTTTTTTGTTCGTGTGTATCATTTCCCTTGCAGCCACATGAGGGAAAAGGAAAAAAAAAAACATAAAGGTACTATTTACCTCTCTTGCTGTGCATGAAATGAGAAGCCCAACACTCTTGTCCTCCCCGAGGACGCCTCGGCAACCGAGGAAGGAAATAAGAGCACCTCTCTGAAATTTCACAAAACGCTGCTGGCAATTTTAATTTATTTTTTTTTTAAACTATTATTATTTTCTGTTTGTCAACACTGCAGTGTTGAGATTTTTTGGTGTAGCCAGAATCAAAGAGAAGAATTACATGGCATCCGGTTGCCTCCTTTGGGCCGCTCCGACGAGATGAAAATGCCGAGATCCCGTACCGGATTTTCATCACCTCGCTCACGCACGTCCCCGTGTCCGCTCGCTTTGGCGGTCTTTGTGCACGCCGACAAAACAAGCGCCAATGCCGTCCTGTCCTGTCCCTTTTTTTTTTTCTCCTCACTGAGAGAGACACAGCAAGACCGCCATCTTGGCACCCATGCGCTGCAAGTTATGAGTCCTTCACAAAAGAATTCAAATTATCCATGGATGCGATATCGCCGATCACATTGGTAGATTGGTTCTTATTGTTGTGGAATATTGCGTTTGTATTCGCTGAAGTAAAAATCTTTTTTCGAAAAGAAAGAAAACCAATGTGCCCCAAGGTGGGAATTTGGCAGTGAAACTCTTCTTCGTTTATCTGCTTGATTGTATATTACTGCCACCCAGTGGCCGGGTTACACACTACAGAGGAAGCCATAAATGCAAAGTGTTTAATTCTTGACATTCTATTTCATTTATTTACTATACTAAAAATATATATATGTGCTGTTTTCCTTATTTTTTTTTCTTTTGGGGGGGTGGTGTGTGGCTGGAACAGATGAATTGCATTTCCATTCAATCTAATAGGGAATTATTCACTGTACAGTATCAGAATCCCATTTAAAAGTACACTCCAGTAGGTGTGCGAAAGCTGCTGTGTGAATGAGGCAATGAACCTCTACTTGCGAGAGAGTGAGGGATCAGCCTCCCCATTTCCCACCCTCCTCCCCGAGTTTAAATTCATTGCCTGTGAGGCTGATCCAGTCCAAGCAGACCCCGGCACCCGGCACGGGCTGACCAATGTGATGACTCCCCGCACGAGCTGCGCCACCTTGACGACATTTCATCTGTGACAAAAGAAGACGGCCAAGAGCAGATCGAGCCACTTCTCCGTCTCCATCCGCCTCCCATCCTATCCCATCCCATCCCACTCCACTCTCTCTCGCTCTCTTTTTCTCTCTCTCCTTCATTCTGTCATCCGCGCGCCGCCTGCTGCCGTCCGCTGCACGGAGCCGTGTGCATGCGTCGGGGAGCGGGGGGGTACGCTGCGCCGGTTCCTCTGGACATCTCCGAATAACGGCGCTTGACAAGCGCGTGGTGGAGGAGGAGCCCGCTCGGGCTTTGTGTGGGGGGGGGGGGGGGGGGGGGGGGGGGGGAGAGACTGGACCTGGACCGGGGCCAGGAGCGAGCACCGGGGACCGGTGGAGACGCGCCGTGGCTCCTGATCAGCCCGCTCTCTGAAAACATGTCCGAGTTTTTTCTCCTCACCTTCTTGGCCCTTTTCTTGGGATTATTTCCATGCGCTGAGCCGTCGGCAGTGCCGGATGAGCGCAAAGGTAAGGGACAAGCCGGGCAATTTGGAGGGGGGGGGGAGGTTGCTCAACTTGGCACCCCTACGCATGCTTGAATTGTTCTGTGCATGCGTGATGAAGAGCAGAGTTGGACATTGACTTCTTGTCTTTTCTGTGGCACTGTGCCATATCATAGCACATTACTGGCGTATTTGCGGAGGGGGGCGGTGGGGGGGGCAGTCACGTTCAGCGTGTGCGTGTGCTATCATACAGTGCAGCAGGTGAATGTCTCCCCCAGGGCTGCGTTTGTCCCTCTTAGGAGATTTTGCTCTGAAGCGCCGGTGTGGGAGCACGCCGTTGATGTGGGAATGCACAATGTGGATCAAAACGTCATCCCTCCTCTGTGTAATTATTGGTGGAAAGCAGAGAATGACTTGCATGGGGGGGCGGGGAGTGGGGGCAGACTTCAATTTGTACTTGCAATTTGAATTTCGGTTTGACGGGAATAAAGTTTCAGAGGCTTAGGAAATCTTCAATTGCTCAAGAGCCTTTGACGTTGAAACATTTGTGGCGTCGGCGTTTCAATCCGATGAACTATGAAGATCTCTGTCATCATTTATTGCATCGTATTTATCATCATAATCATAAAAACAACACCATCGAAATCAAGAATGCCTTCAGGTGAAGAACCAAAGGTCACATCCTGATTTTGATTGACGTATGTGCTTTATGAGAATAAATTGGATTGGGTCGCATGGGATCGAAGAAAAAGAAAAAAGACAGCCCGGTTATTGGAAAACAAACATTTGCACATTATGAATTCCATGCGCATGACTTCCATTTTAAATTCCATGGGAATAAAGTTTAAAATTGAGGAAGCGGAGCATTGATCCTCAGCAAGCCTCAAATATGAATAACAACGACAAGATTGTGTTCAATCTCGATATCGACGTTGAATTTGATACAAATGAAGTCATTAACGATTCTCAAATTTCAACGAGATCGCAGACAATCCTCTGGATAGCTCGAAGATCCTACTCAAGAAAAAACCCCAAACCGCTTCACGGCTCATCCAAGGGTAGCAATTGGAAAAAGAAGCTCGCGTTCCGTCCTGACTCCTTTTGGATTTTGAATTCTATTGGAATAAAGTTGAAAAGCCATTCCAAATTCTTCCGGTTTAACTAACAATTGCTGCACTCCGAGGCACATTTTGTGGCAGCAGTATTTCAATCTGACAAGCAGCAGCCACAAGTTCTAATGATAAAAAGAAGCAAAAACGCACATCTAATATTATTTGTAGCCCGAAAGTTGCCAAGAAAGAAATCTCTCTTTTTGAAAATGTAACTTTCTGCTGTGGAGTTAATGACGCTCTGACCTTTGCCGCTCTCGAGCCCGGAGGTCACATTTCTCACACTTTTTCTATTTTCCAGCAATGGCAGGACGAGCTATGGCTGTCCTGAATTTCCCTTTAAAAAAAAAAAAAGTGAGAGAGCGAGAGTTTTTTTGTTCGTGTGTATCATTTCCCTTGCAGCCACATGAGGGAAAAGGAAAAAAAAAAACATAAAGGTACTATTTACCTCTCTTGCTGTGCATGAAATGAGAAGCCCAACACTCTTGTCCTCCCCGAGGACGCCTCGGCAACCGAGGAAGGAAATAAGAGCACCTCTCTGAAATTTCACAAAACGCTGCTGGCAATTTTAATTTATTTTTTTTTTAAACTATTATTATTTTCTGTTTGTCAACACTGCAGTGTTGAGATTTTTTGGTGTAGCCAGAATCAAAGAGAAGAATTACATGGCATCCGGTTGCCTCCTTTGGGCCGCTCCGACGAGATGAAAATGCCGAGATCCCGTACCGGATTTTCATCACCTCGCTCACGCACGTCCCCGTGTCCGCTCGCTTTGGCGGTCTTTGTGCACGCCGACAAAACAAGCGCCAATGCCGTCCTGTCCTGTCCCTCTGCACGGGCACGGAGATTTAAAAAAAAAAAAAAATGCCAGCTCTCTGAGTGTTGTCTAAATGGACCGTAATGATAACGGCTTGCAACACCAAAGCTGCTTGTCAGCCTAATTAGTCTGATATTAATTTGCTTTGTGGTAGCAGCATTGTCATGTTGAATGCCAAGTGGTGAGCTGCTGCTTTCTGCCGCATGCAATTTCAAGTATTCCGACATGCCCATTGATGCAATTGTTTGGCTGTGAATGAAATGAGCTATAGAAGTCGTCCAGTTTAAAAAAAAAAAAAAAAATCCAGCTCAAGGTTGTTTGAAATGCGTCCTCCGTTAAGGATGATCCTAAAGCCATGTAGGACAGCGGGAAGGCTTCCTTTTTTTAGATCACAGAATTCTACGCGAGAGAGCACGTCGACACGCCACGATAAATCAAGGATTCAATCAATTTCCATCCCTGCGTCCTTCGATTAATCCGCTCGTTATAATTGGCTTTCCAGACAAAGAAACCTGACGTCCATCTTTTTTTTTTTTTTTTTTTCTTTCGCATTAACAGAATACAACATATCCTCTGCAAATATAATTACGCTGCGGAACAGCGACATTCAATGGAACGCGTGCCGTTGAGGTAATTCCGGGCACAATTGGAAATTATTCCAAAGGAATGAAGTTACATGCGAGATGTGTGGAGCCGGTGGAATGGATCACCATTATGCGAGATAATTGAATTTTCGTCATTCTTGATGACATTCAGCATCCTGTTCTGACGCGATTGATTTCGACCTCCGCTAGCGTGTGAAGGCAAAATGGCGGCGTCATCCTGGCACGTCACAGATCACCAAAAAGGAGCTCCAAAGAGACATCGGCATTTGTTTTTTTTTTGTTGTTTTGTTTTGTTTTTTTATGGAAAAGGCAACAGGAAGATATAAATTGCGGCTTTAGAAAACATCTTTGAAAAAGATCTATTTTTTTTCTTTCAAACGATTATTACTGTTTGAATGATAGCAACTGTCCATCCAAAATTCAAAATCAGTCAAAAAAACAAACAAAAACGAATACACAAGCGTGCACAAATTTCCCACACAACCACAATTGATGAGCATTGCTTTACACACCGGAACCCCATTTCGTGTAGCGACTGTATTTATTTATTTATTCATGTATGTATTTATGTTTTGGATTTGGGCTGTGACCACCCTGTGCGGCCGCACATGACGAACATGCCAAAAAATGTCACCGCGGCGGTAAAATTGAGAACTTCGCTTTCGCCAAGATGAACTGGAGTGCTGCTTTCATCCTGTGTTTTGTTGACCTTTCACGGTTGGCCGTCTTTTTTTTTTTTTCCATCTCTGTTTTACATATTTCTCGGGGGGGGGCATGAACACAAAACCAACACGAATCGTGCCAAAGCCGCCTGGCGTTTCGGTCCACATCCTGCTCCGTCCAGGTGGCATCGCTGTCTCCTTCAGCGATTGGTGTTCCTCAGGGCGGAAGGAGGCCGGCGCCACCTCATTACTTTCTTGGCCCGGCGCTCGGACAAACCACATGTGGATTCCGGTCAATACAAAGCGCAAAGAAGGAGCTCTGCGTGAAAGCAAAGGTCGTTCGGCAGTCAGATGAGGAAAACCATCGACCGCCATTGTTGTCTGCGTTTGCGCCGCTCATATCCGACGGACGCCGCCTCAGGTGCTCTTCAAGTGTCCCTCGTCGGTTCTTGGCTGGAAAACCAGACGAGTCGTCAGAAACGGTCCGACGGTTGCTCACGCCCAAAAACATAAATGAGCAGCTGAAGCACTCGAGGCGAACCGCAGCGTTTGGAATGTTTTCCCGAAAAAAAAGCACATTCGACGTTTTAGTGGCCATTACCGCTTTTCCGAGGGTGTCCGAGTTAACAGCTGACTCAGCGCTTGCGTGCTTCTGTCAGTCTTTCGCCTGCTCTGAAGAGACCTTAAAACAGCTGACAGACCCGTTCAGTGATGTCAGCTAAGTGTTGCTGTCATCAGTCTCGGGGCAGAGGTGATGTTTGGCCCCTCAAGCTGCACGAGGGGGCAGTGGACCAGCCCCCGACCGGGCAAATCAAACTCATTTGGGACACTGCTCGTCTCACTCCTCTTGGCCAAAGTCGCTAAGTGAAGCCACTGAACGAGCCCCCGACTTCAACTATGCAGGGATAGGGCTCCGTTGTAGGGGGGCGCTACAATACCATTTTGTGTGTGTGTGTGTGTGTGTGTGTGTGTGTGTGTGTGTGTGTGTGTGTGTGTGTGTGTGTGTGTACTTTTAGATGGCGAGTTTAAAATATCACATTGATCGCCAGTCCCAGCATGTGTGCAAAGTTTGGGGAATTTTTGCTCATGTTTAGGCCCTCAAGAAATGATTCATTAAGGAGAATGAGAATACTAATAGTCATTATAATAATAATTTAAAAAAAAATTCTTCTGCCCTCTCAACTGTGTCAGAAAAAGTCAGAATTTCAGATTGACTTTCATTCGCTCAGAGCGTTTCATTGTTTGTTGATTGAATAAAAAGTTCGTAAAATGGCAAATTCAAATGGCTTATTTTGTAAGAACAAAGCAACAGAGAAACTTTTTTTTTTTTTTAAAAATCCGTGCAGCTACATACATGTTGTCATGTTTGTTACGTATACATTGGGAATCCTAAAATATAAAGCTATAATTTATTTTCACATTACTTTTGGTCACTAAGTAATGTGTGTCAGTGGCCTTAAGTTGCCCGACTTCCCACGTGTCGATATCTCCCTCATCATCCATGTGGCAATCCGAGTTTCACCTCCGATCCGATCTTCAACTCAAAATCGGTGCCCAATCCATTCAACGCTGCCATCTACTGGTGTCTATTTGTATATACTTGTGGGTGCCGGCAAACAATTGGATTGCAGTTGATGAACGCAAACATTCATTGTACTCAATGGCCCAATATCACCTCTCTGTTTAATGCTCTCCAATCCAATCATCAATAGATTGTCTCACGTTATGAACGCCTTTGGCCGGAAAGTGACACACGACCTTGATTAGCAATTGAAAGAGTGAGCTTCCATTTTCAAATCTAATCATCTGACGTCCTCGGAGGACCCACCGTG